GGTGCCTAGCGTTTTGCATGTAAAAGGACGCTTTCGGCGGCGGCTAGGCCGATGGGCCTTCCAAAACAATCCTCATCCATATGGACGGGAGTGGCGATAGCTCTCCCGCTGTCATCATTTAACGGGATGATGACACCGAAACGTCACCATATCTGGGCGACAAGGCTGCATCTCAGTTTCATGGTTTCAAAAGCGTTGAGCAAACCAGCCGCCATGCCATTGACACGGCAGTGCATTCGCATTCCACGCCGCTTACACGAGCGTCGCGCCCAAACGCCTGCTATTGGGACCCGTCTAGCTGCCCCGGCTGCCTTACCTGCGGGCTTTCTTTCGGTCTTGCAGTTAACGCTGATGTCAGCGATGATGGAAACGCTCCGTTGACGCTGTCTGAGCATAACGCTCCGTTGACGCTGTCCTGATCATAACGACCCGCTGACGTTGTGTCTAATCATAACGATCCGCTGACGTTGTCTGACCAGAACGCTCCGTTGACGCTGTCTGATCATAACGACCCGCTGACGTTGTGTCTGATTATTACGTAGCGCTCCAGTTCAATGGGTATTTGCTTGATTTCTACCCTATTTCCTTGACAGGACAGCAGGGTGCGAAAATATCTTTTTCAGCGAAGAACCCCGCAATGCTACGACTGGCCTCCACGCGTCAGGCTGATTGACTTTGACCAGTTTTGCCATCTAATCTTCCATTTCGGCAGCGGTTGCTGTTATCGGGCTTTAACGAAACATTCAACACTTCGGGTTCTTAAGCGCCTCATCTATTCCTGCAGTTCAGCAATGTGTTCGTCTGGGATTCGTACCTGGCCCTGCTGGGATGACCAATCCGGAAACCAGTATCTGGACTATGTTGGCGACTTTACTCGAAACGATAATAACAAAGGGAAAAGAGTGGGGAAGCGTACCTCATTTGGTATGGCGGTCACCCAGGCCCATGTGCCCAGTCGTTCATCAGAGCCATGCATCGCACTGGCGTTTCGCCACCCTCCGCTTAAAGTATGGCGAAAGACTAACGACCATGGCAGCTACGTGCCTCATAAAGTAGCTCTGGAACTGATTTAAGGAAGTCGGAAGCTCCAAATACTGCTAAATTCATGGACCCCTTGATACGAGGTCAGGGCAAGCCCAGCAAAACTTGTGGCGTACAAGCCTAAGACTGACACCCACGGCATGAGTTTCCTGCTCAAAGGATGACTTACTTTCCCGACATATATTTCCCGATAATTTTCCAGACAGGACCACAAGTGTCGGATTTTGTGTTATCCCACGATCTTATGACTCGACTGACGCGCGACATATTCTTCATCACTATCACTGACGTCATATTTTTGGTGTGGAAAATAGGCGCTATCCTCTAAAGACCTGTTTCAAAAGTCCAACTTTGCTCTCTTCCTTTTGTTGTGCAGCTGAGCCGTCTAATGGCAGTCATCCCAAGAATTCAGCTGCGGCGTCTGTCCACAGAATAAACAAGACACCCCGGCCGCAACTTTTAGTTCACGCCGCATGAGCACACACAATACGCATCGAAAACGCAAAGCTCCACCGACACGTCCCGGCCATAAATAATTCCAAGCTGAAAGCTGAACCAAATGTGGATTGTTTACAACCTGTGCTCCAAAGCGGCGACATTGAAGTACGTGGATCCGTCCTCTCGGTTTAGGACACTGTACCGCGACGTTCGGTGACCGCTGTGCCAGCCACACCAGGTCCGCCCGGGTCGGGCCCCGCTCTGTAACCCGTACGGTCACCGCGTGACGGCGCGCAGTCGGGGTGACCACCGGCTTCCCGCTCCCGGCTCCCGGCTCCCGGCTTCCCGGCTCCCGGCTCCCGGCTCCGACGCCGGGAGCACCAGGGCCGGCGGCTATCTGTCCGTCCCTCCGCTGGACGTCACGTGACCGGCTGGACCGCGGGGCGCACCGGGCCGGGACGAGAACAGACACGACGTCTGGAGGCGGCGGCCGGCGCCGGTGGGGCGGCCAGCTCTCCGTGACGGGAGTGTAGAGGCGCGCATTAGCGGCCCCGGCCGCGGCGGCCGCGGTGGCTCCGAGCGCCGGCCGGCCCGCCAGACGGCGCGACGGCCCGCTCCTCCGACCGCCGATCCCGCTTCGCTGTCCCCCAAGGCACGCCGAGCCGATCGGAGGCACGACGGCGCGCAGGTGCAAACCCGTCCCTTTCAGATGGATTAGTTAGAAACGAACGGCAGTGTTGCAAAAGTGTATTGCTGCAAGGGTGCTGGTAGCAAATAATATAAACAGCGTAGAGGTCGACAATTAAACCTCATCAGATCAACCAACAGATCACAAGAATTTAAGTATAGTAAGCCCAAAATGCAGCCCTGGTTGTCTTTAAAGGATAAAACTAATTCTTCCACGATTATTTGAAATGTAGATATGCCCATGTTTGTCACTTAAAAGTGGAAGACTAAAGGGGGTGTCCTACATTTGTATGCGGTTTCGATCACTTGGGTCATTTGATGCAGTTCACAGTGCTACCCTTCTTAGGGCCTAAACCCCTCTAGGTTGTGAGCTACACGGCAGCGAGGGTGTGCAGACTATTTCGGGACAACTATTTCAAGGTCACTCAGGCATCCATGACAGCATAATAACGTCATTCAAATCCTGCCATTCCACTGGCCACGCGGTGACTAAAAGCCAAAAAGGATAATTGTCAAGACGTTCATATCTGGCGTTTGTAAGCACGACTTTAAGAAAGAACGGCATCAAATGGCTGTCGATCAATGTTATGCAAGGTGCGATGACGTCATCAAACAATGACGCATTGAGGATTATCTTTACAGAACAGAGAAATTGCATTGACTGAGAAATATCCTCCACTTAAAGGTATACCAATAGATACAAGTGAGCTTATTTCATCCCATATCATGCTTGCCTCAATGTCTTCAAATGTGGAAACTTCCCTTCAAGGTCTGAGTGACTCCAAAAAAAGTTTAAAACTATTCTGGTTTGAGTTCGGCCACACATACCAAACCTCACAATTTGAGTATGCATAGGGGGTCAATTATGGTAGTTTGTAGCTCTTTTTAGGCGTGCATGATTAGAAAAGGACCTTATTTGTGTCAATTATGAACTGATCTAAAGCAGGATAAGCAGGAGTAAAGCCCATGGCTTGTCGTCAGGCTTATCAACGTAGCCATAACTTTTTAAGGGAACGCGACGCACATCGCCACGTCTCTTATGAAGCTCTGGTGACTGGATTGGCCACATCAGCGCTGAGGAGCCGTGGTGCAACCGTGATTCGAGCCCGGGCTCCCTACGTGGGGGACCGATACACTACCCAATCGGACATATCAACAGAGAGGAACAGAATATATTTGATGACCTCACAGTTGCAAGACGATCAGCACATCCTTTATATCTTCTTCCATGGTTTTGCCTCATACCCTGACATTTTGTGCTCTACCTCGTGCTTTCAGCATGCTCTCTCCCTGTAATGTGTGGGCTCTTGCCCAACGCCCAAGGATCTGTACAGATGTTTCAGGCTCTAGCCAGCCATGCATGTTGCTGATGCTGCCCTAACTCAGAGCCCAGCATCGTCTGATGCCGCCCTGAACTCAGAGCCCAGCATTGCCTTATACTGCCCTGAACTCAAAGCAGCCTAGCCTCGTCTGGCACTGCCCTGAACTCAGAGCCCAGCATTGCCTAATACTGCCCCTGAACTCAGAGCCCAGCATCGCCTGATACTGCCCTGAACTCAGAGCAGCCTAGCCTCGTCTAGCATAGCCCTGAACTCAGAGCCCAGTATTGCCTAATACTGCCCTGAACTCAGAGCCCAGCATCGTCTTATACTGCCCTTAACTCAGACATTAGCCTCATCTGCGACGCCACGGGCAAAGGGAACATCATGGCGGAAATTAAAACAGCCCGGTAAGCTGCCTCAAACGTGACCATTTTACCACTGCGATACGAGGCAGTGTGGTTTGGTACCCATACAACACGGCAGCAAGGGTGTCGCAGTCACCATCCTGTTGGGCTGACCTTCGGACCAGCTCGGCGGACCATTCGACCCGCTCGGTGGACCTTCGGGCCCACTCGGTGGACCTTTGGACTTCGGACCCGCTTGGCGGACCCTCCGTCCAGCTCGGTGGACCTTTCGACCCGCTCGGTGGACCTTTGGACCCGCTTGGCGGACTTTTGGACCCGCTCGGTAGACCTTTGGACCCGCTTGGCGGACCAATGGACCCACTCGGCGTACCTCTGGACCTCGGACCCGCTCGGCGAACCTTCGGACCCGCCCGGTGGACCTTCGAACCCGTTCGGTGGACTTTTAAGACCCGCTTGATGAACCTTCGGCCCCGCTCGGTGTATCTTCGTAGCCGTTCGGCGGACCTTCGGGCCTATGCACCCACTCGTCGAACCTTCGAGTCCGCTCGGTGGACCTTCAGACTCGCTAGGCAGACGTCATTTTCCGATTCAGTGGGCTCGTACGGCGTACTTCCGTTCACTTTTCCTGACACACTCGGAAGGAAGAGTATCCTCGGTCGGTCTCGCCAAATACGGCGACAATGCGCCATTTCACGAAACACGATACGCTCAACACTCCTATCCCGCCGACAGGCATCTTGTTAAAGGTCACTGCCCTGCGTGTTAAGCCATTTAGAGCTGTCAGACGGAGACACACGACGCATGCGGCCATCCACATCAGGCCGCATCAATCCGCTGCGTGTCCCGTATTGGGTCAGTGTGGGAAGAGAAGGGCAAAAATATTTATCCAGTCAATGTCCAGTTATCAGGAGATCATCCGGCGTACCTGCCACGCCCGAGTGTGCCAGCCGCCAGCGCGTCTCTGGCGGGGTTTCCCTGAAAGGCGCTCACGGCTTCGGCGACAGATGCGGCTGAAGTCAAACTTTTATGCTCAACGTCTGATGTCAACAAAACGGGTAGCATTCAAAAGGAAATGGCAAGTTTGACACTCGAGGAAGTTTAGAGCGCAAAGTATGCGCACACTCCTCTGTCGCGGCAGATGGCGCAATCAGTGGCCGCATGCGCCAGACAGCATCAGCACATTGGAGCCCAGCCGGCGCCAGCTCGCGCACGACTGGCACGTGTCGCACGGGTCGGCGCGCGAGCCTCCGAAGATGCGCCACCTCGGTGCAGGCACGTCGCTCACGTGCGCAAACCCCAGCGTGTCGACGCGCCGACCTTCCGTGGCGCGCTCGGCGCAACAGGCCGATTTCAAAAGGCCTGTGCCGCCGTGCTCACCTGCGTCGGCGTCCGCAGCGTCCCCAAGCTCAGCTCCTCACCGTCCTCGCGCACCTGCCGCAGCACAACGCACCCCGCGCACGTCCGCACAGCGCTTCACAAGGCTTCGCAAGGCTCCCGCGAGAGGACCGTCGACTCAGCGGTGCGCTCCGCGCGGCGCCGCGTTCAAATCAATAGGGGCCGGCGGCGCGGGCTGCCCTTGGCGGGCTGGCCGCCGGCCGCGCCGCCGGCGGCCGCCGTTTCAAGTACGGCTGCCCCGGCCGCGCGCCTCGCGGACAACCCGCGCCGGTCCGCGCGCGAGCGCGCGAGATCGCGGCCGGACGGGGGTGCACGCGGCGCGACGCCGCACCCGGGACCGCGGCGCGAAACGAAAAACGTCACGGCGCCCCCACCGCTGCGGCCGCGCGATGCGTGTGCGCTACCGGACCGTTCACAGCGAGCGCGCACGTCAAGAGGAAGGGAGGACGGTTTTGCTGAGAACAGACATGGGGTTTAATATGGGCAGTTTCTAGAGACCGGGGAGATGTTTTGAGATGACTTCGCCTGTATGCTTACAAGCATGCAGCAACGCTTGCAGAATGAAGGCTTGCAAGGCTTAGCACTTTTTTATGAATGGAAGGCATCCGGGGGCTAATGCCAACGGCATTTGTACCGGCACATGCATATGAATGTTGTCATATGGAAAGCGATGCCTCTTGCCTGTGCAAGATATTCCCGTACGCTTAAAGCGAGTGTTCCACATTTGAAAATATTGAAACAGGTATTAGATACGACGAAGTAAGTTCACTTATAACTATCGGTATGCTTTGAAGCGGAAAAAACTACTCTAGACAACACAATTTCAATGGTTGGTAAGTATGCTTCTTAATACGTCATTGTTTGATTACGTCACCGTACTTTGGTGAGCCTGTTGACGGTCGTTACTTCTGGAAATTGTGCTCTCGAACGCCAGATATGAACGAATAGACATTTATACATGTCTTGGCTTTGACTTTCGCATGACTGATGGAATGACATGATTTTAATGGCGTTTTCATGGCGTCGTAGATGGTTGGGTGGCCTTGATGACCTTGAAATAGTCTCCCTGAAATAGTCTGCATATCTTCGTGGGCGTGTAGCTCAGAAACTAGAGGGGATTAAGTCTTAAGAATGGTCAGGTCGTGATCTACACCGAATGATCTTTACTGTGTCTATTTGATTTTACCCCCACCCTGATACAAAGTGGAACACTCCCTTTAAACAGGGGTTTCAACTAAAATTTTAAATCTTGGGTTCATTGGGAGCTTCTACATGTGCCGCTGATAAGCACATATGTAAGATTTGACAGCATATTCTTTTCAATGGGAAGGAGACGGCGGTTCACCTTATTCTGTTTCGTATGCCCATATAGGTAGGAGAACACACCTAGATAGGTCCTTTTTTAATGTGTGACGTTAAAAAAGCATGTTGTTTTGGAGTGAGACAGCGATTGCTTCATGCAAAAGATGGAAAACATTTTTTTCTAAGGCTGCCAACTGACGTCAAACAAACTCCGTTTGCATGTTCTAGAAACTGTCGTCATCAAAGAAAGAATCTCAAACTTAGACAAGCTGCTTAGATCATGCATCACCCTGGACCTATTAAGTCGAACATGACAACAAGGTGATCAACGTCTTGAGCTTGCCATGAAGTCAACCTGAACGGGAAATTGTGATGCGCGTGCTGTTACTTGGATGGATAATTTGTCAACTGACGATACATTTTTAATCATATATCGTAGAGCATGTCTCACACTTTTCAATATTGGAATGTTTCGCTTCCGGCTGATCTGCGTGGTGCCACGATGTACAGCAGGCTCTCAACTGCAGTCCCAAACTCGAATGAAATACATAAGACGCATAAAAGCCAACGTGATACTACATCATAAGCCGATATGGATGCAAGCGTCAGATATCATCAATAACCTCACCTTTAACTATTCGTATAATTTTAGTGGAAAATACTGCCCTAGACAACACAACCTCTACATCTAGTAAACATGCCCGTCAATACGCCATTGTTTGGTAGCGTCGTCGTGCCTTGCACAACATTGACTGAGAGCCAATTGATGGCCTTTATATATGGAAACCGCCCTCACGAACGCCAGACATGAACGACAGTGATATCTTCCTTGGCCCTGTTCACCGCATGATCATTGAAATAGAAGGATATAAATGGCGAATGATGGCGTCATAGATGCCTAGATGACCTTGAAATAGTCTGCGCGAAATAGTCTGAACATCTTCGCGAACGTATAGCTTAGAAACTAGAGGGGCGTAGGTATCAAAAAGGTTAGGGCGGTTAACTGCACCGAAGTATCTTCACTATGGATTTTTTTAGTCCCAGCCTCATGCAAATGCCAAACACTCCCTTAATGCAAAAGTGATTGATACCGAAGCATTCCACCAGGCTGACCCATCTTGCCCTGGCAAAATTTCGCACATGTGCGTATATGTTTTGCACATTGTATTGTGAAAACAGTGCACTCGATGGCGAACAGATAGCAATACAGGGACGTCATAAATCATGGCGAAAGTACATAGTACGGCAATCCCTGACTCACAGGCGGTAGAGCCCAGCCGTTGACGTCATGATCGCTTGGAAGAGTCCATTTCACGAAACCATCACCATCATTTCTTTTTCACTTCATCATTTCACAAACCAAAACCATCATCCCGCGACTGCAGGTAGATGGAGGCAGATGCAGAGCAGGTGCACGGCTCTTATAGATGGAGCATGCTGGTTCTAGCGCCTCGGATCAAGGGGATTTGTTTCTGTTCCACTGAGGGAAAATGGTCGAAACAATTATTCTGACCGTGGAACTGATGTCTCGTCTCGATCCTTTGGTAAACCGGCCGTGATTGGGGCTGGGGTCATAACCTTTCTCCGTTGCAAATCCTGGCAGCCCCTCCCGTCTCAAACCCCGGCTGCGCCCCTGACGGGAATGAACGGCAAGATGTGTCCGATTACTGCAGTCATCTTTTCTTTGTAGTTGGCATTGCAATCTGGTCGCAATGGCACGTAGTCAGCGATGGCATTGTAAGAAGCGATGCGTGTGATTGTTACCCATGACGAGTGTGTTGAATACGAGATATTGCACGCAGAGTTGCATGCGTGTAAAGCTCCAACAAGGCGGGTAGATTCTTGCTTGCAAATGGCGAATAACACCAACCCGTTATAGATATGCTGGATGAAATCGTGATCGTCATGAACATAGAACACATTAAAACGGCGAGCGTTGGCGCGACTGGGCTTGGAGTACGCTCCCGGGCTTCCATTGCGGGCATTCAAAAACAACTTTGGGTGATGTTATGTTGCCAATCGGACATTTCTGAACCTCTGCGTGATCTAGTCTACCCGAAATGTCAATAATGACAAATTTACGAAGGCACATGACACTCAAGGGTACTTGATTTGAAACCATGGATTGAGCGAGCTTATTGTTGTTAGAAGCAGGGTACGCTGTGGGTCTTACAATCCCGATGCTAAATTGAAAGTGCCGCTAATGACTCCCCGTTACGAAGAGAGACGTGGAACGGCTTTTTGCCTCAAAAACTTCCCCTTATGTGCAAAATGGACTCGTCCAAGCGATCACGACTTCAGTGGTTAAGCTGCACAGCCAATGAGCGAGGTCCCATAGCTTCCCAATGCAGAAAAAATTAATGACACTTACTGGCAAGAAGTAAAGACAAGTTTGTTGTGAGTTTGATTCTAATGTTTGAATCGCCTTGGTTTCAGGAATCAGAGTGGGCGATGAGCAATGCTTTCTGTGTGAACCCTGACTCCCATCATCCCATCATGATATTCCAGTTCAGCGGCGGAATTTCGTGGCGGGAAGGTGAGGAGGCGGCGCTCTAACTCACTGAGTTGCTGGTCGGAGGGCAGATGGTCGAGCTAGGGCGGATTTTGCCTAACCCATCGCTAGCCTCCCGGGTCGAGTCTAAGTCAAGTCGTGCCTTGCCTTAGATTAAAGTTCATGGAGGAAATCACAACCTCTCTCTGATTGCAGTGATTTGCGAAAAAAACCTCGATATTAATCAGAGAGTGACCATAATTCCCTCCATGAACCGTAATCTAAGGCAAGGCCCGACTTGACTTAGACTCGACGCGGGAGGCTAGCGATGGGTTAGGCAAAATCCACCCTAGCTCGACCATCTGCCCTTCGACCAGCAACTCAATCGGTTAGAGCGCCTCCTCACCTTCCTGCCGCGAAATATCGCCGCTGAACTGGAATATCATGATCGGATGGTGGGAGCCAGGGCTCAAACAGAAAGCATTGCTCATCGCCTACCCTGAATCTGAAACCCATGCGATTCAAACATTCGGATTAAACTTACAACAAACTTGTCTTTACTCCTTGCCAGCAAGCGTCTTTAATTTATCCTGCATTACAAAGCTATGGGACCTCGCTCATTGGCTGTTCGGCTCAACCGCTGAGGTTGTGATCGCCTGGACGGGTCCATTTTGCACATGAGGGGAAGTCTTGGAGGGAAAAAACGTTTCATGTCTCTCTTCGTCGACGGCGAGCCATTGGCGGCAGTTTTAATTTAGCATCGGGGATTGTTGCAGTGATTTGCGAAAAAGCTCGATACCAAAAACCGCTGCTGTCAACCTTTTATGCTCCATGGAATCAAGCACTAGCTTCAATGATTGCGTAACAAAAACGCAGAGAGGGGATTGGGGATTGACAGAGTGATTTGGACCTTGTGACCTGTGACCTTGGGGATTTGACAGAGTGACAATCTTGTAGGGAATTTGACGTTGCATGAGTGACAATCTTGCGGGGAATTTGACGTTGCATGTAGGTTAGGGGCAGCCACCTACGGCACCGGCGTGGAGGCCCCGGCCTAAGTGAGGTCAGCGCCGGCGCTAGCTGGACCTGAGACAAACTTATGACATAAAATATGGGATGAAGAGGAGGAAGGGGAGGGGGTACTGGTGGCGCTGCCATACTGCTGTGATCAGATGAACTGGTGTCGGCAGAGTGTTTGGCCTGGTAGGAAGGAATCCTGGTAGTATGTGCATCACTTTATATACCTTCGGGAGAGTGCTCCCCCCATGCTGACCTAAGCCCCTCCCCAATTAATTCTGCTCTGAGCTCCCTCCATGCATATGCACAAGGAGAGAATGCCGGGCTAAATCAATA